CGCGCGCATGCCTTTGAGGGTGCGTAACGTATGCACCCTCGGTGGTAAGGCTCGCGTTACGTGCTTGAGCTTGGTGCGGGCCACTGTCTGGTAATTGGGTGGTGTTCACGCCCATTATCGTTCAGCCAAGGAGTGTGTGTGCGTACGCGCGCGCGCGTGCCTTTGAGGGTGCGTAACGTATGCACCCTCAGTGGTAAGGCTCGCGTTACGTGCTTGAGCTTGGTGCGGGCCACTGTCTGGTAATTGGGTGGTGTTCACGCCCATTATCGTTCAGCCAAGGAGCGGTGAGGTGCCTAGAAACGTCTCTCCTGCGCGTGGACACCTGATGGTCACCCGGTATCAGCAAGTGTGCCGCCCTACACGTGCCCAAACTAATCCTGCGCAACCACCTCCGCCCTCAAAACTCCGAACCCCCCGTTATTTCATGCATCAGGTCCTGGTGACGCCCCACACTGCTTTCCTCACCAATGAGGCCCTTGACAACATAGCGGCCACCACCATAGACAACCTGACACAGGCAAGTGGCCCATCTTGCTGCCCGTACTTGCTTACTGATGGTATCTGCCAATTGTGGCGACTGCCACAACCAGCGGCGTGCATGCTGATGCTCACATTGTGCTGCTGTCGTGGCGATCGGCCGTGGCACCGTTGTGTGCCGACGTGGCGCCCGGGGGGCAGCCATCAAGGCGGGCCTCGGAGTGGCAAGCGGGGCTGTTGACCAGGCGCCCTGAAGGGCGAGGCCTCCTTGGTGAGGGTGCGGTGTTGTGGTCTGCGTGTGCATGGGCCCCTGCGCGTCGCTGTGGCCACGCGCTCCCTCACCCCCCTGCAGACTCATCACCACGCAGCTTGCTTGACCTCGCTCTCCCTCCACGCCGCAGTTTGCGCTGGGGCTGGCACTGACAAACGAGATCAAGGCGCCGCCTCACGCATAGAAATCAGCACAGTACGATTGGACCAAGCCGCCGGCTTCCTGAGTTTCGATGAGCGCCACAGTATCGTGCATTCTTGCTGGCGCTAGTCAGCAGCCTTATTGAGTAAGCCGGCAGCCCCAGGCCAATTGCTGCGCCACATGCAGGCTAGCAGGGCCCGCCAGAGTCACAGCACGGCCGGAGGAGGAGCGGCACCCGGGCAGTCGCAGAGAGACGGCCTGGCAGCAGCGCATCATCTACACGCACTTGCAGCCTGGCCGCAGCGGCAACGACCCTGACAGCCTTGATGGTAGACCTGCGCATTCGCTTTTGGCATCCCCAGCATTCTTTACTATACATTGCTGTTGTCAGCTATATGTCATCGCTTACACAGTTGCCAGTACGTGCGTGCCCCCCCCCCCCCCCCCC